TCGTACGACGAAAATCGGATGCAGTGTTAATCCAGCATCTATGCTCCCCGCTTTTTAATGGTTCAGTAGACTCAACTGTTGTGGAGCGGATCCGTGAGCGCTCGCTGTTATTGGATGATCTAGATGAATGCACCAATAGCAGCGAGCGCTCACGGATCTGCTCCACACAGTTGAGTCTGCTGAACGCGACCAATATAAAGAGACCGTAAAAGAGTGTCTCTAACTAGAGTCTCCGTACTCTCCGTTCCTCGTGTCGCGACTCTGAACAGAAGGTCTCTAGATACACTCATGGTGGAAATATATAAGGTGAAGCAATCTGATAGATGCGCAGTAGGAACGTGCATATTCGGACATATTTGATTGGCTATTCCAGTATAACCTGCGCTATTATAGGTAGAAAAGTGCATATTCGGACATATTTGATTGGCTATTTCCAGTATTGCTATCGCCATTATGCGTATTTTTTCACCTTATATATTTCCACCATGGATACACCCAGTGAAGTGTTTAGTAGGAGCCGGCTCACTAGAGTTGGCAACGCTGTTTACTACATTCATTGTGATGGTTCTTATAGTGCGGTATAGACGCTTAACCTCTAATGTAATATAACCTAGTAAATATATCGGTTTGTTTAAATTTTTTAAACAATATTAAGTGAAATAGATCGAGTTTCAATCTTGTATTTAAACTTTTTTAGAAAATACAGTTATTTAAATACGTAAGATTCTTTTTACATATATTTATTATATCATATTAGCAATACATTATTGGAATAACAATTTGAAATATATATACATATATATATGTACATATATATTTATATCTTATTAAATTGCTTTTACAATACATATGTACTAATCTTGCATTTATATATATATATATACATATATATGCATGTGTATAATACATTACATCCATATATATATAATTCTTGTGTATATATGTATCTATCTATATATATAATGTACTATATATATATTGCGATACTATGGGTATATATGTACATATTAATTGTTTTTAATGTTTAAGTTTAATGTTTATTTTATACATTATTTTTATTTACAGAAGATAAAGTATTTAATATCGACTTTTGGTCAAAATGGATATTCGTCCAAATAATACAATTTACATCAATAATTTAAATGAAAAGATTAAGAAGGAAGAATTAAAGAAATCATTGTATGCTATTTTCTCTCAATTTGGTCAAATTTTGGATATCGTAGCTTTAAAAACATTAAAGATGCGTGGACAGGCGTTTGTTATTTTCAAAGAAATAGCAAGTGCTACAAACGCCTTAAGATCAATGCAAGGTTTCCCATTCTATGACAAACCAATGGTAAGATAAAATTATATAAAAAATTATTGGGTTTGTTTTTGTATATTATATTTTTTTATATTTATATTAAGAATATTCTAATGTGTACACATGTGTGAGCGCATGTGTGTGTACACGTTTATTTGCATATTATAAATTCGTATAAATATATTTGCATCACATACATTTGTGTATAAAGATATAAAAATAATCTCTTTCAAATGCTTTGTTTTTGTAGAGAATACAATATGCTAAAACTGACAGCGATATAATTGCTAAAATGAAAGGCACCTTTGCAGAACGTCCAAAGAAACCAAAGCGAGTTATTCCAGTAGCAGACGAAGAAGCCAAACGTGCCAAGAAACGTGCAAAAGAGCAAGCAAAACATTCACAACAAATTGGTTATCATGCTAGTATACCCCAACATTCAGGACTTGTTAATGCCGCTGTTCCTGAACAGCCACCTAATCAAATATTGTTCTTAACAAATCTGCCTGATGAGACAAGTGAAATGATGTTATCAATGCTGTTTAATCAATTTCCGGGCTTCAAAGAAGTACGCTTAGTACCTAATCGGCATGATATTGCATTTGTTGAATTTGAAAATGAAGTTCAGTCTGGTGCGGCAAAAGATGCTCTTCAAGGTTTTAAAATTACACCTTCCCATGCAATGAAAATATCATTTGCAAAAAAATAGCTTTATAATATTTTGTATTATCCATACTATAATAAAATAGAAGTAAGACGTAAGTTGAATTGCATTTGTATAAAGATAAATGTATTTCTTGGTATTTAAATTGGTTTCGATTATTTCATTCATAACTTTGCGCAATTTAAAATATTTTATTTAATATCTAACGTTACTTTACAATGGGATTCAATAAACGTAATATTTCTCTAATGTGATTTATATTTTTACATACAATCCGCGTCACAAGTTATGCCATAAAAATGAGATATTTCGGTTCAAAAATATATGTAAAAAGTTATATACAACTTATTAGAAAAAGTTTATTTTCCATTTGAATACCTTTTGCAACAATAAGTAATGTGAAAGAGTAATTTGCTATAATAAAATACAATGTATTATTTTTTCTTTCTAACTTCCTATTTATATATTGACTTAAATTGATTTGTTACATTGTACTGAGATATATTTTCTAACAATTTAGTTTCATAAATTTAAAAAAATTTTGTAAGAAGAATATTTATTATTATTTAAAAATATATAATACACTAAGTAAGTTTATATAAAGGAGGCAAGTTGTTACATATTTCTGAATAAATAGTGCAACGACATCTGTCAAAAACTATATCTCTATATTACATTACAGTACGTTATATTACACATTTTTTAAATATAAAGTTTTTATTTATCTGACTTTAATAAAAATATTAGCAGGTGACATTTGTGACAATCTATCTCATAATGGGGCAGGTTGTATTACAAGTTTAATTCGCCTTGTCATATTTTTATTAATGTGAGATAAATAAACCTTAAAAAACCTTTTTAAAAAAGGAAAAAATGTACGCGCGCGCGCCAAATGTACGTTCGAAAAATTCTCCCATACGTTAAAATTATCAAGCGTGTTAATTGACTGCAAGATAGAGAGATCCTCTTCGTCCGAGATCCTTTTCAACAAGCTTGAAAAGCTTGGAGTATATATCGGGTAAATGTAAAAAAACGGATAAATATAAGAAAACGGGTAAATGTAATTTAGCCTAAGTACATACAGATATGATCGTGTTAGAAAATGAAGGGTTCGATTTTCTTTTGCACGCGCATTGCTGTACAGCATAGAATATAGCGGCCTTCATGATTGAAAGTATAGGAAATTATATCAATAAATTATAAAAAATTTTATCAATATTCAACAAAATATAAATTTACATACATAAACATATAATACATGTTATAAACGTACATATATAAATCAATTTAAATTTAAACGTAAATACTTCTTAAATGGCCAAAAAATGTCTCAAAAAACATAAAACTTTTCTAGAGTGTCACTATATATGCATTAAAAGTATAATATGTTATTAACAGTTTGAATATATCAAACATATTCGGATAAATTAGTTGCATGTATCCATCCACATTAAATTTGTATTTCACTGAAAAGAAAATCGATTAACATTACGTCAACTAATATAGAATGTGTATATTAAAAGAAACGGTTCAAATAATTTTGTATTTATCATATAAGTATATTTATTGTATGTTGTTGTCGATGATAATAGTCTGTCGTGACTTGTCGAAAGAGAAAGATACCAGCCATCGGAAACGTTTTACTACAATCTATATTTCGTTTCGTTATAATTGTTATGTACGTAGCAATAAGCAGTCAGAATTATATCTTAATTGTACAATTTTATTATACAGGGTAAGTTTTTAAAAAGATGATATTTTATTTGAAGTATGCACAATCGATAATCTTTTAAATAATAGAGTTGTGAAAACATTTAACTTTTGACTAAACGTTATATGTTTAAGAATATTTACGTAAAGACTGAATTAAATGATAGCTTCAAATTATGTTCTTTAAACGTTTTCTTTCTCAACTAAAATTTCATTTCTTTAAAGCAATAAAATACGATCACTTTAACATTGTTTTGTCAGGTACTTTATGAAAATAATATGCTATAACTTTTGCTGTTTGTAAAATATTCATATTTATTTTATACTTAAAATTAACTTGCCTTAAAAAAATGTTATAGTATAAAGTAAAATTTTTTGTAGTCATTCGTAAGATATTCGTATGACTTTAAAATTTCAATAAAAAAGCAATGCACATATTCAATAAAAAAAGTATTAAAATAAAAACATTTTAGAATTTACCGTTGCTGTAACAATATTTTTAACCTAATCACAACAGTGCTAGGAATATTACTAAAATTAAAAATGCCTGATTTTGTTACGATGAGATACTATTAAAGGCTGACATTCTTACGAGTTCGCGTCCTTGTTAATATTGATTAAGTGATTAAGAGTAAAAAAACTGATACTATTGTGCTAATTTTATGATTTATTATAGCTTTGTATACGTATTTATAGGTGTATATACATTTAAAACTCAATAATACTCGATTTTTCTTTAAAATGTGATTCCAGTGTTATAGTCAAAGTTTGATTATCAATAGAGATCATAAATGTAGAGAAAAAATTGTAATATTGCGGCATATAAAATATTATAACTTTACAAGTATGCATATTGATTTATGAAGTATTTAAATAATAAAAAATCATGAATTTACTAATGTATTAGCCAAATATTTGTGTTAATATAGTAGCAAATTTATATCAATTGTCGGTAATGTCAGCGTTCTTCAATTACCTCCGGGCTTTTAGGGCCTTTTTTATACGGCCGAAAATTTGCCCAGCGTTGACAGTCTTTAATAGTATCTCGTCGGTGGGTTTGCATGGTTTGCATATATGTAATTATATTTACAGTAATGTAACGATTTTAATAATCTCTCTTTCTCTCTCTTCCTCCCCTCCCCCTGCCCATCCCCTCTCTCTCTCTCATTCAGCAACTACAAACAATCATGGGCATTATTATTACTAATATATGCTTTTATTATCTTAAACTTTTTGGATATTGTTTAGAACAACAATTGCAACATGAACCAGGCACACACAAGGAGCAGCATTATATTTATCATAGTAATAATTGCTCTTAACGGCGCAGAAGAAAACAATTTTATACTTCCAAAGGAACGTTTACCTGATTACGTGATGCCAGTGCATTACACCATAAAGCTCGCCCACATTCATCAATGTTCCGGTAGATCCAATGTCTTTTGCGAAGAGATTCTTGGTTATAGCTCATTCCCGAGCTCGTTTCCCTTTTTCGGAGAAATCAGTACTACTATCAATATCCTTCAATCCACTCAATATATAAGAATGCATCAAATAAATCTGACACTTATAAATCGGAATATAACTTTGACTAAAGATAACGGTATAATTTACGTACTGAATAAATATAAATATAACTATAAAACAAACATTTTAGAATTTCCTTTATCTTATATATTACTTGCCGGGCTCTACACATTCAAAACAGAATTTTATGGTGATCTTAAGGAAAACCATAAAAGTATTTACAAATATTTCTACAAGGGAAATCGCATAGCGTGAGTAAATATCAATTATTTGAAAATATACATATACGCATTATATGCCCTATTATATAATTATTTCTCATTTTTCCTCAAAATTCATTCTCTTTTATCAATTTTTGATGTTGTTATAAATTAAATCAAATGGTAAAAAGTAAATTATTTAACGTTATCTGAAGCTAATATAACTATTATTAAATTGTTGTAGATTGTTGTTCGCTCCACACATCCAAGCGAATGGAGTCAGACAATTGTTTCCTTGTTGGGATGAACCGCACTTAAAGGCCACATTTAATATTGCAATGAAACATTCTCGGTATCATTCAGTTTTATCGAATATGCCGACAAAGTTTATAACCCTAGATGAATATAATAATTTATTATGTACATACTTCGATATTACACCTCCAATATCAACTTTTCAAGTTGCGATAGTTGTGACTAATTATAATTACATTAAAATTAAGGAAAATATTACTTTATGGTTATATTCATCAGAACAGTCATGGAAATTAAAGTCTACACAAAGAATCATAAACGATATTACATTGCATTTAAAATCTGAATTCGGTGGGATAAATATTCCAAAAATGGATCATCTTTTAATTCCAAATTTTTCGCAAGACGGCACATCGAAATGGGGGCTCATCTTTCATACGTAATACATATTTCTAAATATATAACAATTTGTTAAATGAGAAAAATATTCATATCAATTGAATATTTAAAATTTTTTAATTTTTACGTATATGCATTTTCGTAAGAAATTTCCAATTGATTATAAAAAAATCAATTATTGAAATAATTATTAATCCGCGAATCAGGTAAGGTGTGACATACCCCAGCAAGATGAAATTCTATAACTTCGTAAAACGTACCGCGCACCTGTTGCCGGTTTCGTATAAATGGAGAGTGCGTTGTTGCGAATTATACTAAATTATAGCATATTTATGATGAAATGTAGCATATATATGAAATATGATCTAAGTTGATTTTCCACCTGGTTCGGGGAGGGTTAATAACTACTATTACACAAGATATTATAAATCTTTTGCAATCTCTATTTTAAAATAGATATGCAATGTGCAATTGCATTTCTTCCTAAAAGCAATTAAATTCTTTCATCAGCTGTGCATAAAAATATTAGAAAATGAGTATCAGAAAAAATTAATAATATAGAGGTATTTTTTACATTATTCCACGACAAAATACGTTAGAATGAAGTGTAAAATATTTTATGTGTTATTGATATTTTAATAATTCCTCATTAATAGTTTTATATCTAAAATAATTTTAAAAAATCATATAATTAAAAAAAACATATTTTTATTGAAAAAGTAGAGATAATCATGAAATACCTGCACAAAGTAATGGTTTTATCTATATGGTTTCTTTCTTCGTACTAAAAATCTACTTACATAACATTTTTTCATATGCTTTATACATTTTATTGACAATTGTGTCTGTCACTTTATACGAATCACCTTGTATATCGAATGTCACCTGTTGTGCTTTATTAGGAGTCACTAAAATCATAATCCGATATTCTACATATATATGTATAAATTAATTAGAAAGGTAATATTTTACAAAATATTACTTGTTTCAAATTAAGACGAATTTAAAAAATATAACTATATGCATAGTCATTTTTTAATGTTCTAATTTATCACTACAAATTAAAAAATTAAAAAAAACATTAAACATTTTATACACATCATTAAAAACAAATTAAATTGAAATCTGTAAAGAAATTAATGGTACTGTTTTATCAACCAAAAAATAAGCAATAACATTTGCACGTGAGAACAGTTGTAATAATTTTTAGAGAAGCCAATCTTATATATGATGAACAAACAGATTCAGTTATGCACAAAATAGAAGTCGCACGTTTAATAGCACCCAAAATAGCATATCAATGGTTTAGTAACGTATTCAGTTATAATTGGTGGACTCGATTCTGGTTACACGACGGTCTTGCTACTTTGTTTGGAGAAGAAACCATCGTTAAGGTTTTTATATTTATTAATATCGTAATATATAATAAATTTACTTTTTAATTTGGTATGTCTATCATTTTTAGTCTCTAACACTTAAATCTGACAGACTTACAATCTTTACAGTACGTACGAAAAATCTTTTAAAAGAAAAAAAACTTTACGCCAAGTGCAAAAAAGAGGTATTAAATATTACATTCCTTTTAATAAAAAAAAACGGATATGAAATAAGCAATTAGCTAAGTATTTCATAACGCAAGCCGCATAGGTAGTTTGAAAGTGACTAAAATGTTAACTGAATTATAGTGGAGAAAACTTGGCGTGCCCGGGTTGGATTAAAACACAATATTCTAGTACAATAGTAAGTCTTCATAGCACGGAAATTATTTGCAATACGAATTAATAAAAAAGTTATTACATACAATATTCTACAGATATACATGATACATGAAAACAATAATTCAACAAACTAGAGATGTTAAAATTGCTTACTAATTTTATAAGTTCGTTATCTATATAATGTTTCTATACATCTAAATATTATCAATATTATTTATACATATTATTTCTCCATAATTTATATCACGTCTATTATTTGCGAGTATATTTTCGTGTCCCACAAACTATTCACTATATATATATATATATATATATAAAATTTATAATACAAATATTGTGAGATACATTCATACAAGTGGAATTAATATGACCCGGACACGCCAAGTTTTTTCTTCACTATAATCCAGTTGACCAGTTTAGTCACTTTCAATATATCTTATGTGTCTTGCGTTATGAAATACTTGGCTAATTGTATTTATTTCGTATCCGTTTTTTATTAAAAGGAATATAATGTTAGGTACTTTTTTTATGCACTAGGCGTATATTTTTTCTTTTTTAAGGGGATGCTTATAGCAATAAAATATTTAGACAAAATATTTAAACTGGAATAATAATAATAATGTAAACATGACTCGTAAAAGCCTTTTCAATTAAATGTTTAAAATTTTACAATTTAAATTGTTTAAACTTTTAAAATTGTATGGAGCTCTATTTTAATAATTACATTCACTTTTTATTTCTAAACTGAATTATGAAGATCGTAAAATGATTTTAATAATAATGCGCATACATGTGCACACAACATTAAGCAGCAACACAAGCTACACCACCTTAATGACGATAGTCTTTCACCTTTACATTCTTGTGTAATTAAGAAACATTGCTTTTAGATCTTCAATGATTCTAAAATCATGGATTTCTTCATAGTGCAGAATCAATATGAATCTCTTTATTTGGATTCTCATTTTGACTTGAATCCGCAAATCATCTACCTGTTGGAAATTGATTCACTTTTCAGCTTTCCTCGTCATTTAAAAGGTGAGAATACTTAAATGTAATTTTAATAAATATTTGTACATATATGAATATTACTAAAAAAATGAATGAAAAAAATTTAGATGAACTAATTTTGTTCAAAAATTTCAATTTGCGATTGATTAATATATTTGGACCATTACAGTACTAATTGTTTTACGCATGCTTCAAAGTGCAATTACCGATAAAGTGTTTCGAAATAATGTTCATATATATGTAAATAGAAAGTGAGTAAATACGTCAACTATAATTTCGTTGTATACTGTACTTATATAATAAATCTAACAGTTATTACAATTTTATAAAGTTGTTAATAACTTTTCGTAATGGTTGCAGTATTTCTGAATATCTCTTTGTTTCACATTCATATATAGGTACATATCTTTCTTTCAATCAGTAATCACATAATGTTCATAACTTTTTCATTTTTCAACTATCCTTCATTTGTCTTGATCTGTTTAATTCATTAAATTCGTCAACTTTATATAATTTTTTGTGTCATTCCTTAGTAAACTATTGTTTAAAGTTACCTATTTAAAGTGTTGAAATTAAAGTGAATTTTTACACATTTTATTACAAATAGTAATATATAATAGGAATTGTAATACATATAAAATAGAAAAATGACATATAATATACATATTACAAAATTCCATATATATGTACAAGTTAATATGTAAACTTAAGTAATGAGTACATATTTACGTTGTACACATTACATTATTTTGATCACTGACAATAAATTTTTTAATTTAGCACTTTTAGCTCAATGATTTCTATTGATTTCTGGTCCATGCAAGAACCTATAGAAGCATTTAAATGTTTTATACCAAATAACTTAATCCCAACTTGGATAACGTACAGACATTATCCTATTGTATACTTCGAGCAAGATGAAGTTGATTCTTACAAGGGAAGATTGTCGCAGATGTATAATCTAATCAGTCAGGGAAGGTGGTGGATACCTATAAATTTAAAAAATTATAAATTACAGATCGGAAAAACATTATTAACGGAAAATTTCACAACATGTTTAACACCAGATTCACTGTCTTTTAGTTTGAATGTTCCTCAAATTGATTGGACATATGATTGGATAGTCAATATTCAGCGAGCAGGTAAATATGTCTTAAAGGCTTAGAATTTATTGTATACAATTATTTGCAAGAGTATCTCTCTTTCTACTTTTCTGTGTGTGTGTGTGTGTGTGTGTGTGTGTGTGTGTGTGTGTGTGTGTGTGTGTGTGTGTGTATATATATTTCTAAACTTATAATGTGTTACGTCCAACCCTGATTATTGGCGAGAGAGAGAGAGAGAGAGAGAGAGAGAGAGAGAGAGAGAGAGAGAGAGAGAGAGAGAGAGAGAGAGAAGATGGAGAGGGTATAGAAGGACGGTTGACTCAATCTCACAGGTATACTCACGGAAGCGTACAGCTGTGAGTCGTTAGCACCCTTTTAAGTCCCAGAATGTGAGTCAACGTTCTGAAGGGACGCTATGACACCTGTTCCGATGGACAGTGCGAACGTCGGTCCTACTTTTTAGGTCAAGGAACTTAATCCTTTTGACCTGGGACTGGACCTCGTGCAATCTTAGGCGTTGTAGGGAACGGGATACGAGGGAGGCGATTTAAAAATTAAATGCGACTTTATGAGAGAAAACTAAAAACTTACTTTTATTTGTGAAAATAAAAAAAAGAATTAAAACTAATTTACATGATTAATTAAGATTATGTGTTTTTTTCTTTTACAGTAATTCTTTACTTGCGAAATTGTGAGCGAGCATGTATGTGGATTTTTTTGTCATTACAATATTTGTGTGTGTGTGTGTGTGCGTGTGTAGGTGTAAGAGAGGAGGGGGTGATTATTGGGTATTGGTTGCGAAGAAGGTAGTCCATTGGCAGGCTGAGACGAGATGCTTCAGTTGGACGAGGAAAGGGGAGGAATTCCTAGGGACATAGACGGTAATTATTTTATCCCCTTCGTTGGAGGTGGACGAGAATAGTTGGACGATCCGATCCCAATCGGTGGATTGGGGATCGGGGTGGACAGGTGGGGGAGTTGGGAGTTGATCAAAAGGGAGAGGGGGAGTTGGGAACTGGTCAAAAAGGGAAGAGAATTCTTCCTCAGTTGGGGGAGGAGAGTAGTCCGAGATTTCTTGGATTCCAGGATTGAGAGGAGGAGGAATGGTAAGATCGAGAGGTTGTGCGTCTGTTAGTGTAGGTGAGTATGAGATTGGTGTGTAAGTTATGGTGGTGTCAGCCAGTGGTGTTGGCACTCGGGGAAGTGCGGTTTCGGCAGGTTGCGGCGTGACTATTACCGTAGAATTCGAGAGACTTGTTCTAGTGGCGTTTGGTTATCCAAAGCCGGACGGTTTCGCGAACTCCGCCGGACATAGGGAGTTCGTCCCCGTTTGGTTTTGTAAGAGTGAGACCGCACTATAATTAAGTTAGTAGTTAAAATATTTATCCCGAGATATATATATATATATATATGTGTGTGTGTGGTCGCGTGCGCGCTGGTACAAAAAAAGGGGGGGGGGGCGTGTTTGTAATTGTAGGCTGGATGGACTTACTGGTGGTGATGCGTGAGATGTTCGTTCAGCAAGAGAATCAGTTTCAGCGTCCACGCAAGAGCAGCCAAGGGTAGCAGTTGGCGGGTGGGTGGTCTCGATGAACACCAGAGATCGGCAGAGCACTCGAACTATTTCGCGAACTGACGCTAGTTGAATTGTGTTATTGTTGCGAACTCCCCCGACGTGGATTCGGCTAGTTTGAAATTTTGATTGACGCTCTTTGTCTAGGATGCAATAGTTAGTTGCAATGTCGCGTGAGATTTACGATTTTTAAGATGTCCTATCGTTGTTAATCTAAACTGTTAAAAGGGGTTTAGAGAACAAAAGGAATGATTTATGTTTTCTCTAAAAGGGGCAAGATTGCTTTAAGCGAGTGATGAATTCCGTCATCCTCGCGGAAAATATGGCTAAGTAAACAGCTGTGAGACGTTATCTCATGTTTTTATGATTTTTGCGGCGCCTGTTTTTCTGAAGATGAAATTGTTGGTCAACAACTCGGACAACAGCTTGAATTTTTATCATCGCGTGACTTAGGTCCATTTATAATACTTTTCGCAATCTTGTCCCTTTTAGGCCTGCGTTAGTGTTATTTTTCCGGGTTAATTGACGTTTTACGAGTTTTTCACGGAGTCTGTGTGGTCTGTTTTTCAATTTTTATAAGGGGACTCCTGCTCGCGTCTCGCAGGCGCCAATCGTAGTCGCGGCGGAGCCGATTCTCTTGAAAGAAAAGAATCTGCGTCTGCAGGACGTAACAATGCATAAACCAAATTATTAGTTTTATTACAGCAGCTTTGGGAAGTTCTGATGTTAAAGTTTAGGTCTTTACCTTTCTGTTTACAGTTTGAAATTCTTTTATATCGTAAATTTGATTTACATTTATTGAAAATCAAACGAACTTATATATAAGTGAAGTTCAATTGAAATTATATGAGAAGTCTCGTTCGAGAAGATTACAATTATGTAGTACCACTCCGTTCCATTCGATGTCACAACGTTCAGAGTCTAAGATTGAAAATTTCTGCCCCCTTTTTAATTACCTGCTTTGTTCTTTATGGTGGGTTTTTTTGTTGTTGTTAGGGCGGGATTGTAATCTTCTCGAACGAGGCTTCTCATATAATTTCAATCAAACTCCACTTACAGGTATATTTGTTTGATTTTTAATTATATTTCGAAGCCTCGTTCTCGAGATTACAACTATGTAGTTATTTAGAGTGCAGGTAATTTTTTCCATCTTATATTTCCTGCTCTACCTAACAATCTTATTGTCTAAATTTGCTACTAATTGGATATGGATAGTATTTTACTTCTTAATTTTTAATTTTTTTTTTTATTTATTTTGATATAATTCACCATACAATCAGTCTCATACTTAGATTTACACGCTACCCTTTCCTTATTATGAAATTATTGCTCTTGCAAATTTGCTGTTTGCCGATACATATATTTCATATATGTATGTATGAATTCCCTTTAATATAAGAAAAAAAAATAAAATGAAAGAAAACTATTTCTCTCAGTTTTAATCTCATAAAATTTATAATACAGTTTAATAAAGTACTTTTTTTTAACTGAATAGGGTATTACCGCATCAAATATGGTTTAAAAGGCTGGCACGCAATTGCAAATTATTTAAATTCTACAGCTGGAGAATATGAAGGAATTAGTGTCATCAATCGTGCTAAAATTATTGATGACGCGTTTCATTTGATAATGGAACATCAGCTCAATGTATCTATATTTTGGAATCTCACGCAATTCTTATCACAAGAGACAAATTATGTAGTGTGGTATCCAATGATTAAAGTTTTTGAATATATGTCCACTATATTTCCATATTCGAAAGACGAAATTAAGTTCATCGATATTAAGGTAAAACGATTAATACATATTAGGTGATATATGGCGGTATTTATAGTCCGTTCTTATTTCAAGACTGTCTTAAGTAATGTCGTAAGACGCTAATGTACCCCTCCGATTGGTTCGTGATTTCCTAAGACTGTACTTAAGACGGTCTTGAATATAAGATCTGACTATGAATACCTGCCATAGCGTTCTGTTGACAAAATCTGTTGACAAAATATATCTCATTTATATTGAGTTCTGATATGCACTCCCAGTAAACAAAGAAGGATTAAAATGGATTGAAATTTTGTCTATCTTAATGCGTATTTTAAATACAGAAAATCTTTTTTCGGATTCTATTAAATTCAATACAAATTTAATTGGATTGAATTAAATTCAATTGTGAATACCTTTGAATTAAAGGATTGAATTTTTTATTCAGAATTTTGAATTAAACAGTATTCACGCTTCATAGAAAAAGCTGATATTATTTTTAGATTGAAAGGCATAAAAATGTGCTTCATGCAATTCTTATAAATGAATAAAAATGCATTCCTGAGTGAAAACGATTCGTTTTAACGTTCGCAAATGTGTATTTCTGAAAATCTAAATCCATTTCAATCCTCTATCGATTACAGGGCTATCAATACTGAAAATATAAATCATGTTACGAAGTACGCTACAGGTTTTTAGTACAGGATACTGATTATCTAATTTTCTCTTTAGAGTGAAAACGTGAAACCTTTTTTCTAAGGCGGATACGTAAAAAGTGAAAATTTTTATGTATATAAAACCTATTATTGCTTGTAATTTCGAGAGTCCTATTAATATTTAACTTTTCATAATAATTATATCAATTAGTTATCTCAATTAGATTTAACCCGATTTTGTGTGATTCGTCGATTTTCCGTTTTTCAAATTTATTTCGAACAGATTATTACAGAAAGAATGTAGAAAGATGAGTCCCTTTTTAAATTAATAACGATTATGTGTGCTATCTAAAATAATGTATTTCATTATATTAGAAAAGAATATATAAAATTTACGTCATTTAGGAGAAATTTAAAAATTTGTTGAAAAATCCACTCAAGACGCTAGGGTATGATGAACATCAGATGGAAAATGACCTTACCAAATGTTTAAGACAAGAATTTGTAAAATGGGCATGTACTCTTGAATACGATGAGTGTGAACAAGCAGCTTTTCGTAAATTACAGCAACATCTTCAGAATCCTGAAATAAACCCGTAATATTTTTCTACACGTGCAATATCTTTATAATTACGTTCTTTTCATTTCGAATTATGACAAACTTTCAGTTCAGACATATAATAAATGATATTTTCGCGTGTGTGTTTTTATATACTTTTTTTTTTTAAATTGTAGCCTTTTACCAGGATGGAAGCACTGGACATATTGCCGAGGTTTAACAATAGCTAATTGGGCTACGTGGTCACACTTAAAGGATATATGGTTGGAAACGCGTAATTATACGTTGCTATCATACTTAACTTGTTCTGGTTATGCTTCACGGTCTATTGCTTCTTCATTGGTGGAGATATTCACACAAGATGAAAGACGAAATATTAGGGGTATTCGGTCATATATAGACATTTTTCATTCAATTGTTATGAAACATTCTAAGACTAATTACATATTCGAGAAGATACTCACAGTTTTGGAGACTTTTAAACCTGAGTAAGTACATTTTTTTTATAAATATACACTATATTTAATAATAATATATTACATAATAAAATATAAATTTGTATGAATTGATTTTGTATAGACAAATCAACATATTAACAGCACTAGTTGATATCATTAACCATGTTTATTCTTCCGAAAGTCTTGGAAAGGTAAATAAATTCAGTACAAATTACATGTATAAGGTTTCTTTTAGGCCAAGGGTCATCAGTGTAAGATTAATTTTAATTTCGGTTTTTTACTAATCGTTTTACTAATTATTGTTCTCAGAATTACAAAAAGATAATGAGCAAGTTGAACCGAGAATAAAGTTAATTCTTTATTAATATAAGCGCTTTGAAAGCTTATATTAATGCTACATGACGTATGCAATATGGCATATACGTTTCTGACCGCTTGCGATTTGTTCTTCCAATTTACGGATAACTTACCCAGACAGAACACAATATTTAAAAATATTTACAAAATATTTATAAATATTTACAAAGCTTATTTTAAATATTTTGTAAATATTTTTGTGGTTTTATATATAGACTTCATAGATTATAAATATTTGTTATAAATATTATAAAATATTTATTGTAAATCTTCTAGTAAGTGCTATGGAAATACATACGACATTATAATTCAAATAAAAAAATATTAATAAAAATATTTATTTATATTTATCATAAATATTATATTAAATATTTAGTCTATATTTTAACAATATTTTGAATAGAGTTTTATATAAGATATGTATAAAATATTTATATAATATTTGAAAAAATGAATAATAATAAATATATATTTATCATAAATATTTATTCTGCGCGCTGTCTGGATATTACATGCAAATTCCTATTTATATGAAACGATACAAATGTAATTAAATATTGAAATATTTTTCGTTTTAGATTAGTAATCGTGTAAAAGAAATTAACTACATTAATGAATCACAATTATTAAAAATTGAGAATAAGATAGCAACACGAACGTCAGAAATTATTATTCATAAAGAATATTTTCAATTTATGAATGTTCTTTAATCTAATTTAATGAATAACTACACACATACATATAAGTTTCCTTGTAGCAGCTGTAATCAGTGAGAAACGACATAAGCTAATGATATTGTTACTATTAAATATATCAGTGTTAATTTTGAATAATCCATTATATTAATTTTACTTGTTTTTAGTTTTTATACGTAGATCTTGTATAATATTGTTTTTTACTACAATTTTACTTATGTCAGTTATTTTCTATACATTTATAGTCTTGCTTTATTTGCTTATTATTGACTTTTTTTGTTATTATTATAAAGCTATTTCTCTTGTTCTTGTATTATTTTTAGTATTTCATATCAATAATATTATTTTTCGCGCGCGCGCGCGTGTATAACATAAAATAAATATATCTTAAAATAATTAGAACAAATTATTTATACGCTTATATCCTTAAACCTCTACATTATTCTTACAAATATCCTAACTTAGAATTTCGTGATTGCGAAATATAGAACAATTATAAAGTTTTCATCTAATTATAGAATTGCATATCTCAACTATAGCTGATATATTGTTTAAAAATCAGAATATATCATCCTTAATATTTCAGAACAATTTTCAATTCTTTATGATATGTAAATTAAATTAGTGTTATAAGTTGATGATGTTCATAAATTATGTAGATAGCGGGAAAATTTTGTTAATTTGTTGGTTATGAATGTAGATTATAATTCTGTAATTGCTTCGAAAATAAAAATTAAAGTTACAAACAAAAAAATTTTTACGTAATATAGTACATAGGTTATAAGTAGGTTGTCTTTATTTTGTATCGTAAAATATATGTTGTTTTATATTTCACCCAATTATATAACTTACAAAATAGTTTTTGATAAATTGATTTACACTATAATCTGTCGCGAGAAATATAAAAGATTAGATCTGAAAAAAGTTAACAATTTTGATACTTATCAAGATCTGTACAAAATTTAGCAACTTATTTTTATAAATAAATAATATTCGTAAAGGACTCTTAATAATAATAAAAATTAAATATGAAAACAAGGCATATAAGAGTCAATACCAACGCACAATATTAAAAAATAATCAAAATTCTATTACATTCAATAACATTACATAAATTCCATTGCAAAATATTACATGTTTCGGTCTTTATATTAGACCCTCTTCAGATATATTTTTAAACTGTTGACATATAATGGTGAGTGTTCTATCGTGTTTGCTTGAGTGATTGTTGAATTTAATTAATTGTAGAATTTTGTTAGAACATCAAGAAATTCTGTTCAATCGGCCATCCAACCTTTTGTCAAGCAATTTCGATACCTTTGGTTTATGTTCATTCGTTGACGTGGTTTACTATTGAATTTTATTCAGCGTTTTCGAAATAACAATTTTATATTTATCATATATCTGAAGAGGGTCTAATATAAAGACCGAAACATGTAATATTTTGCAATGGAATTTATGTAATATTATTGAATGTAATAGAATTTTGATTATTTTTTAATATTGTGCGTTGTGGTATTGACTCTTATATGCCTTGTTTTCATATTTAATTTTTATTATTTTTATAACAATTATATATATAAAATTAACGCAAGATACCGAGATTTTAGACCGCGCGATTTGGTCGTGTCCAGGCTCCGGACCGCGAGGGAGCTGTGGGGAAGGACCGACGCAAATCGGGAGGCACTTCGCTTCGTCTTGAGACTCCTAACGAGCTGGGGGTCGAACGGAGGACGAAGTGGAAGCCTCAACTCGTGCTCCGCTAAACAGACATACGAGTCAAACACACTTTTAGATTTAAAGGACCCAACTGGGTCAGTGTGCCACGAGGGCGCACTTTAACACCAGATGTGCCAGTGCATTCGTATGCCCTGGCTTTCGGTCATGGAACTTAATCCAAGTGACCGGGGAGAGGGCGAAGTGCTACCGCGGGAGAGCCTAAAATGAATACGAGAAGAGGTCTCTGTTGATTAATAAACGAGGATTTAATTAATACAATAATTTAATTAATTGAATGATTATTGATACATTGGTGGTATTACAAATGGAACCTTTCTTTGATTCATATTTAATTATGTATATAAATAAAAAAAAAGGATATATACATATATATGTGTATATTTGTATATTTATTGTATGTGAGTGTGAGTGTGATTGGAGAACTATGTGTGACGGGAAATTTTAAGTCAGAGGAGTTTGGAAGGAGAAAAGGAAGATTAGAATTCTGTTAGCTCATAAGGTTGGAGGGAAAGAGAATCAATGGGAATGAGGGACGAAATAGGGTCTGAAAAAGGGTAGGTGCATCCGGGGATGTTGACTAAGATGCGGTCGTTCGAGGACGGGGTGAAATAAGACATATAGTCTAATAATTGCATAGCGTTGTGGAAGAGGAGGGGAAAAATGATTTGCTGGGGAGTAAGAATCTATTGCCGAGAGAGGAACTGAGGGGGTGATCTCCGAGACGGGAGACTCTTCGATCGAGGGTGGTGATATCGGGTGTGAACTTAAGAGAGGACTGGACGGGAAGAGGTCGTCAAAAAAGTCTGGGGACAGGTCGGAAACTGGAGAATAAGAGACTTCCAGTGGAGGTGATAGGGGTGGAAGAGGTATTTGAACAACCGGAGTCTGTTCTTGTGCTAACGAGCGAACCGGTGGAGATAATTCTCCGAAATTTTCCGTGATATTAGAGCGGACACGGGGGTGAGGTCGGCGCGCGATGTTATGCCCCGCTGGTTGACGGCGACGAGGGGTGGAAACTCTGCGTGAACGCACTAGAATATCAATCTTTAAAAGGGGTCACCAGTGAATTTCAGGAAAATCAAGACTTACTGGTTGATGGTGATGTCCCCGTGAGATCGTCAGAGAAGGTGGCGTCAATCTTAGGATGCCGGGGCCAGGTCCACTGCGCCAAGCGTCGGTTCTCTGGTCAGTCAGTGGGGTTGGTGTTACGTTTGCAGTACGATCTTATGCGCTTGCACCGACTCGAGAGAAAAGGGACTTCGAAAAAGAAAGGGATGATGTTCCGTCCAAATGTCCCGACTAACTATATCTCCGAAAATTCAGAAAAAAAATCCACACTGACCGCGGGACAGCGGTTTTATATTAATCGCCCCCTGATTACTTGAATTTGGATTGGTGGAATAGGTTTCGTTAACTAGTAGTAGGAATTTTCTTGGTTCTTGGATTGGTCAAGATTTTTTGGGAGAGGAAAGGACGTTGACCGGAGTCTGTGGTGTGGGAAAGTGTTATCCTTAATTTTTACGATCTTAATATTTATGGGAAAACGCACGCGTCAAGAAAGTGTACGTGCAACGTCGGCACGAGACCACCCAGGACCCACCCCTGAACGTCGCGTCTCGCAAGAATCGTCCGCGGCTTGACCGTAGGGAAAAAAAAATCTTGGCGCCGATCTTACGCTTCCAATGATATTTTTATTATCTTTCTAGTCGCAGTGTTCGAGAGGGCACAGACTCAGTGTCCTTTTGGTCCCGCTGCTCGTGCACATGCACCGATTTTAATTTATCTCAGAGCGACATTTACGAGGAGATACTGGATTCTTCGATTAGTTTTTTGTACGTGGGAAAAGAGAATTTTAGTCTTCTCTAGGCTATAACGTTCAGTTAATTTGTTATTCGCAGCTGTCTTTTTATTTCAACGAAATCCAGATCTCCACGAAAGAAAAGAGTCGTGAGAGTCCACTGGACGTAACAATACACAACAAACATTATCCTATTGTAAGTTGGGAACGAGACAGGGTAACTCCGGTATATACGCCGCACCTATCAAAAACTTAATTTATTAAGTATTATTTACTATGTTTAAAATAAACGAACTATATCAGTAAAAACTTTGTACTGTCCATTACTATGAAAAAAATATTAGAAATCCGAAATATTTAGTTTTCGTATTAAAAAATAAACTTTTTGAAATCTTGCATTTTTGCTATATATAGATAATGGGTGGGACATATGGCAAAAATGCAAGGGTTTCAACAAACTAAACAAAGAATACGAAAACAAAGCACTTGTATTTTGCTCTATACAACATGCTTTACTATAACTCTACATGTATGTATCACGAAATAACCACTAGGTCTTTTACACGCCTTACAGACATCATTTTATATAGATTATAATTTATGATGATGCTACTTGTTACACACACAGTGACAAACCGATTCAACTCATAATAATTGTATTAATATTAACAGTAAGAAGCTGAAATTATAACACAATTCGATTTTATTTTTCAGATTATTTCCCCAGAGAGACAATACCTCTCTGGGGTAGTACAACAATAAGCGGCTATGCCGCGCGCCAATAAAAAAATATTTTTAATGCGGGGGACAAGTGCCCCCCCCCCCCC